ACACATATACATACACATATTTGTAGTATGACTTACACATTGTGCTTAAAAAGTTCTCACAAAGTTATAGAGCGCCAACAAAGTGTCAACATAGTAATAGGAACGCGTTAGAGCGACTCACTAAATTATGCTCCGTCACGATTTCGTAGTTCTTGCTGTTGTTGGCAGAGTTTCTACATGGGTGCATTGACTACTAAGCGCTTTTAAGCCGCGTTGGCGCCTTGGCAGCACGACAGCACGCTGCGCATGTTCCTAAGAGTCTACAAAGCAGAAGACACGCATAAACACACATACACATACATGCGCATGCGCTTACGAGATCCGTGCTGAGCGGTAATTAGCGCGCCGATTTATTTACTTTCCAGCGCTTTAGAGATTTAGCCGTAGAATTCTTATAGACATATGAAAGCCCGTCATGCTTTGATTTCCCATGCGCTACAACTGTCAATAGTTGACAGTGTTACGTCGAATCGTCACAAATAAGTGTAGTTGTTGTGCTTCACTTTCTGCTTAAGTTCTCAGCCAGCCAATAATGCAGGCGGCAACTTTCCTTTAAAGCATTTGTTGCATGCCAAACAGCTGAGTTTCTAATTCTGCGCACAGACACACATACATTTGTTAACACATACATACATACATGTCTACATATATACATACAAAGCTTAAGAATTTGTGCTTTCATTTCGTGTTGCGTGAAGCCAAAGTGAGAAAAGAAACCGTGGCCGCTTTCTTCACCGCCCCTCTCGCCGCTGTTTGTCACCCTCTCATGCCTTGGTATGTTTGCTTTTGTCATATGACACCGTGAATTGTAGTTATTTCTAAGTCAGTTGAAAGAATTCTTCTGCCGCAAAAGCTGCCACCAAACAATGTAGCTAATTAAGCTGTGAAATGTTTATAATTTCGTTTGGTTGTGAATAGAGGTGGCTTCATGTTCACCGTTGAGTAATTAAAACTATTGTGTTCAGGTGGACATGTTCGAATTCTTTAAGAGAGAACACCTTAGAAAAGATATCATTTGAAGAATTTTAGTTAAGAAATTCTAGGTTCGGCTATTTCCATCATCTTATCTCACACCAATGTGCTAGATTAAGTTAGATTTAGTGTTGACCTGTTTAATCGAAGAGACCGAAACCCATATCGTCGTCTTGTTGAGGTTTTTAATCGAGTTTTTAAGATTCTTTGACTACTTATTCTATGTTACCTTCAGTTCCACATATTTTAGCTCAGATAACTTTGCTCACTTTCGTGAAAATAGCTCCATTATATGATGAATATAGAATAAGATGTTCTTATATTCAGTGCCAAGGTCCAGCAAATACCAATCAAAAAAAAGTATTGACAAAATTTCTATCAAGAAATTCTCATTTACCGATGAATTCTTTTGAGCCTATCACGATTCCACTGAGATGACTGGTGTCCTTTCCAAATAACTCGTCAGATGACCGAACGTGTGGCAATCATAAACTTTTAACCACAGTTTATCGTAAACCTGACAGTCAGGGCGCTGATTACACCTAGCCTTCAATCCATTTTTATATGTGATACTAATTCCTCGTTAATTTACTGGATCTAGAGAAAGTTATTACTATCTTCAATACCAAAGTCAAGAAACTTCAACGAAAGTTTGACTGTTATGCTGAAGTGTTGAGCATCTAATGTCTCACCTTTTTTCAGATGAAGTTCTATTAAAATTTGAACCTCCTCGCATGTTTGCCTATTGAACACTGTTAGAATAGAAGCCACAAAAACTTGTATTAGAAGAACCTTGCTGAGAGTTAGGGGTTCAGCAGATTTCTTGCAAATCTGATAAATGGCCACAGCTCATCTAACTCACGAGTAGCCTAGTCATATAAGCTACATTCTCAGGCAATTTCCCATCGATTCCCAATATAACATCCCTGTCCGATGCAATTGTAACAAAAGAGACTTTGCTATGGCCAGCCATCCGAAGTGAGTTTAGGCATTTAATCATGACATCAAACGCACTTTGACGTATCTAAAGCATTCTGACAGCAAGCCCAAAAATAATATTCTCACTGTGCTAAAGGTATGAACCCTCACGCTCATGAAAAGGGATACGCACAACCCAAAACAAACGAGCATCACAAATTGAGATGGCTTTAGTGTCTTCTTCAAAACTCTCTAAAAATCTAAGCATTTCTTTCTTAGAATACAAAGTAAATTTCCGTCGCTTCTAAACTTTTTTTGGAGAGAATTTGGGGATCCGATTTACATATACAGTTTACATATCGTCACCTAAAAAATGCAGAATAACGTAAAACTACTTTTCATAAGTTTTCAGACAAAGGAAAGACAATATAATAGAAACCACACATATTGAAAAAATAGAGTTTTGGTTATAAAATGTTTGTATGTTGGTTATTTATATGGTTATGTTCGGTTATATATTGGTTATATGTTAGTTGTTTTTAATAGAATCCACTCATATTTAAAAAAAATTGTTGCTTTGGTTATATATTGGTTATATATGGTTATATATTGGTTATATATTGGTTATATATGGTTATATGTTGGTTATACCTAACAGTTAACTATAAAAGCTGAAAATTTTATGCTACATTTATGTAACATTTTGTAGTGAATCGCAATAAAAAACTGAATTTCGACTTTTTTGTTGATACCTTGTTTTGCTTCTTAGATGACGATATCTAAATTTTATATAATATAATACATTTGATATGCTGGAGTCATGCTTATTGCATTTAGAAAATATTTCTATATTTAGATTTCACAAATTTCTGCTGTCACTGAAAGCAACTTTAGTTCCAACTGTCGCATGAAGAATATTTAAGAGAAATGTGCAGAAAAAATACATAAAAGCACATACTTGCCTCCAAGAGAAGAGGTGATTCGCTTTTGCCGTAAAACATAACCTCTCATAACCTACGCACAACTGACAAAAATTAATAATAAAATTGCGCTTTGTCTCTTAAGCTCGCCTCATTTTCTTGCCACAAACGTCATTAAAGGCAACTTTTAACCCTGTACTTGCAACATTACCCACCCACCACTTCCGCTCGCTGTCGAAAATACAGCCATCGCTATGGTTTCTCATAAACCCACTACTCCATTTCTTTTACGACTCACGCGTGTTGCGAGCGGACGAGTACGTTGAACCCATGTTGTGTCTCATTAAGCATAGATTACCACAGCGACTGCCACAAATTGCATGACACGAATGCAGGTTACGACAACGGTAGAGAAAAATACGACAAAAAATATATCTGTGACACATGCTTAAATGAGTGCCTCGTAGTGTTTCCCAACCGCTGTTCTTCAATTGCATGCCTGAGTAGTCGTGCTGATATGACAAATGTCACATAGCCGTAAGTACAAACCGTTAGGCGCCACAAAAAACTAGTTGTGCGTATGTGTGAGCCTCAAGCACCACTGTCATCTTCCCTGGATTGACACATAGCGGTGCATGCACGAGATTGCCGCTGCGTGTGCGCCAGCAAGTCATAGCGACTGCATTGCCGACCGTCGACCGACGCCACCTTCTTCTTCTTTGTGACTGACAGCTGCGAACTTACTTGCGTATGTATTAAGTTGTTTCCCTAGCTGTCACAACCGCTGTAGTACACCGTTTAATTGCTCATCATGGCGGTGAGACGCACCGATTTTGACACAACCGTCGTTGTTACAACTTTAATGGTTTCCGACGCCAGCTTTGTGTCACCGGAGTTCACATGTTGCACTAATTTGTTGTGTTTGCTTTACTTCTGAATTCGCTTTTCCAGTTCCCTACCCATTTTCTTTTCAGAAAAAAGTTAGAGCGCTTGGCAACACCGTTACTGTTATGTTATGATATAACGAGCAAGCCCTTTGCTTGGTTAGTTTTTTTATTAATTTATAAATGTTTTAATCAAATTAACTTATTTCCTTTCTTAAAAAAATATTTCTTTGCCTTTAGTTTTGCCTAATTACGCCATAATTTGAATGAAAACGCTTATTCGTCGTCCCAGCTTGGTGCGCATGCGTCCTGCGCGCACTCACTCACACACATACATACATATATGGTGTACAGCGCACAGTAGATAATCGCCACATTGCAATAATTCTGCGCACGACTTGGGAAGTTGAGCAATTTATTAAGTACCCACCTACGGCACCATGCCGCCCATGCCGCGCCGCATAAAAGCCAGCGCATATCCCTTCCATACCCGCACGCAAGCCATAAGTTCTTGCCATAGACTCCACGTAGGCTTTATTAAGGCAACTGCTCTGCAAGCAACCTGCTGCTGTCGTTCCGCGCCGTTCCTTCCGTTCTTGCGCGCTCATTCGCGACGCTTAATGACTTGAAACACCACTGCGACTCGGCGCGCTGGCGTTTAGCCCTCAGCGCTGCACTTTGGTTTAATTTGTATGCAACCGGTGATGATGAGTTTCATATAGTCGCTTCTTCTGGCCATAATTTACGGTATGTCCGTCTACGCGGCGTTATTGCCGTTGTCGGCATTGTCTTCTATGCTGGCAGATATTCATATTTCATTGCTTGCACTGCGCGCTCGCAATAGAATTGTGCAAATTTCAATTTTGCACGCAACCGCACCACCACACTCCACACACTGCCGCAATCCCCTCCGGCTGTATGCATTTAGTTTCATTCAACCTGCCGGTTCGCTGCGGCGCATAAACAACGGCTCTCTTGGCAACGTGGTCGGAAGGGTTTTGAGGAAGTCGTCGGCGTTGCTTCCCGTTCGATTTTGTCCAAGGAAGCCGTACACACTTTTACTCCAGTCTTTTTTTCTGTACTTTTTCGCTTGAGTGCAGTTACACCAGCACTTGCCAGTTTGTATTTAGTCCGCAGTTTGAAGCCGCAAAATCAATAAGTCTGCGCGTTGCCCCAAAAAACACACCTCTCACTCTCTCTTGCTTGCTGCTGTTAACGGAAGCGCTTTGTCTGCCTGCTTATACGGCATCGACGATTTTGTTTATTATCTTATTAATTCTGTTCTTATTTTTCTTTCTACTTTCAGGTAGCGTACCGTATTCGTAACTCATTTATCCAGCTCTGATTTTGCTTTCGTTGGGCTCTAAAGGCTGGTCATTCCTGCTCCTCATATGGCTGTGGTGATGTATGGTAGGATATGACTTGCAATTAATAACTACAATAACCATTGTCTGGCTCTGGTTGTTGTTGATTTTTTAATAATAATCATATTTTTATGGCTACAAGTTCATCAGTGAGCCAGAGGCTCAGAAGGCAGGTCTGCAGTTGTATTTAGCAATGGGAAGCCTTAAGTATAACTGATTGGATTTGTTTACTCCTTTCTTCCATTATGTTTCCTATTATAGTAGATTTATGAGGCACTTGATAACGAAATCACTTGCGTAGATGATTGTTTTTAAAATGGAAACATAAAAATATTTAAATTACAAAAACGTTCTTTGGATTTTCAGATCTTAAGATCATAATTTGATTCCACAAAGAAGAATCCGAATACTTCTCTGCGAAATATGTGGTTAAATTTCTGATAATAATAACGTGATCTCACATCAAATGGAACAACTTTGCATTTATCAATAGTCATTTAAGTTCCCGCAGCATTTTTGAAACAACAAAGATGTTTCCTGTCTAAATATTTCCGAAAATTCCAAGAAGACTACTTTGAAATACTTAAAAAATACTGCAAATCAAGTATTTAAGTAGCGTTTATTATTCTACATGAGTAAGTACATAATAAGCTGCTGCGGGTAAATAAATACGAAAACCTAAGGAAACAAGGCAAAACATATGAAATGAAGGCTAAGAATAGGCAGAAATTGTAAAATATATAAAAAAAAAACAAAAACAAAGGAGATAAAAAACGGCAAATCACTATGCGGAAAACAGGTAAGTAACCAAAGCAACAACAAACAACGCACAAAGGAATTGGAGGGTAGTTAAAATCAAAGAAGTATAAAAGGATAAAGATCCTGCCGCCTTTGTAGCATGAAACTGCTTTCAAATTAGTTGCCGGTATGTTATAAAAGAAACAATAAATAGCGGCTTTGAAAGGATTCCGTGTGTAATAAATTCCTCAGTACAATTGAATGATTTTCCAAATTGCTACTTGCGATACAAAAGAATAGTTGAACAAATGGCTTTCTTCTACTTGCTAAATCATTTTCCAAATCTATCATTGTTATAGCTTTTTTGGAAGGAAATACCTTTTGGATCACTGTGTACTTACTATGTGGGCGAGTATTTATTTATTGACTTTCAATACAAATTGTAGGTGTAGATTTTTATAGCGAGAGCGTCAGTTGTCAGTTTTCTTGTCATACGAACTTTATATTGCTTCAATAGTCAAGTCGATACATGTCGAATAATAGTCGATTAAAAGTCATTAGTAATCGATTATTTCTGAAAGTAATTTTTTAAAAGCTGATTTTTTGAAATTATGTCATTTACTTTTTAATTTCATACAAAAAATCGACACATACTTAATAAAAAAAATCGATTATTTGTTGATAATAATTGACTTTTTTTAAATAAATTCTACAAAAGCAGATCTTTTGACAGAAAATTGTCCTAAGTATCACATACCTTTATGAATATTCTTCTTCTTCTTCTTGATTGGCGTAGTCATCGCTTACGCGAATATTATAAGTCAGAAATCACAACAACATCAAAAAATCTTTTATAAACGACTTTCGTAATAATCGATAATAGCTGAAACCTGTATGCATCATTAGTTATAGTTAAACCAATTTTCTTCTTGAAAATGTTGTCTAAAATGATGAAATATTTTAAGATAGATTTTTGGAATAATCGATAATGTCTTAAAACCTGCATATATTCATAATTTTGGTTGTTTTAGAATGCAATAGCTTAAATATAAAAAAAAACCTTCAAAGTTTATTCTTAAACGAAATAAAACAAACATTACAATAACAACAAAAATAGTTTGTTGTCGATTTTTTGAATAATCGATAATGGCTGAGAAGTGTATGTAATATTAATTTTATTGAATATTTTTGGATGTTTTCCAATCCAATAGCTTAAAAACAATTAAAATTTATAAGATTTATTTTAAAACGATATCGTTTATAATCGATTATTGCAATAATTTATTCTGAATTATATCTTTTAAAATCGATTACTGGAATAATCGGTAATGTTTATAAACCTTCAAATAAAATACAATTATTTAAAGTCGTTTTGAAGCGCAGTCATTTAAATTCAAGCTGCAATCAAATCATTGAAGTATTTATTGCACCCTTATTTACTAAAGTTCTACTGAAATCGATCAATTTTACCCGAACAAACATACAAGTGTCAGGCAGATCTATATGTTATTGAAGCAGTTACAATAATGCTTTATTTTTATTAATTTTAAGTTTTCATCGCTTTTTTGTAAAAACCTACACCCTGCAGCAGGAATATGTTGCCAAAACGTCATTGACGCCACTTAATGACCTTTTTTTTTTTCAAGTTAACCACATTATTTATAATAATTGCAAATTATAATGAATTTTTTTCGATTTCTCGGAATTCAGTATTACTTCCTTGTTATTAAATTTAATTATATTATTCATTAAGTATTTTATTATTGATTGGCTCGCTCGATAAAAGCTTGTTAACAATTTTCTGCACAGCTCATTGTCAAAATTTTTGGCATTTATCGTATTCTCTTCTAACGATTGCTATTGTCAGCTATTAAATTCGAAATCACTACCAGTTTTTATAAATCGACAATTTCCATTGTGCCTGCAATTAAGTCCAATTTCGGGTGCCGGCTTTTCAACAACTCTTTTGCACCGCATGCTTGGTATTTCTTCGGACTCTTTTGTTTTGTAATTTTTTATTTGGAAATTTTTGAAGGTTTGCTTGAAGCCGTCTTGCTGCACTTGAGATGAACTAGTTAGTTTTCTGTTGAACAAATTGTAATGATTTAATGATTTTTATGTATTTTTAAAGGCAATTGACTGTCTATATTTCGTACTTTACATTATGAGCAGCAGACTTACATTGCGTGTTTGTGAGTCTGTGTTCAAGTGGTTTTCCTTTAAAGCAAAATATCACTTGAAATATCTTTCATATAATTTTATGCCTATACATAAGTGGTTTTCAAAATATTGTGGTTTTTATTTTTATTTTTTCATAGTCTGCTTGATAAGGTTCTTTGTTCTTCTTTCGCTGCAGCAGCCGTTCTTTCACATGTTACCAAGTTGTTTTCTTTTCGCTTTAAACTTTGTTTCGTTCACTTTTTTGTTGCTGCCTTGTATGCTTCACATATTTTCGTAATTGTTTCTTTAATATTTCTGACATGAAGAGATCATTGTCACGACCACATGTGTCACTTTATGATATTTCTAAGAATATGGTGAGTACGGCTTTGATTGAAAGCGAAGTTTCTGAGTGATTGCTGTTTCAAATTTGATCGAAAGTTATGAAGACATACAAAAGTTCTAGAGACCTACATAGTTTGTAGGCGTTACATCGAAGTTTTTATAAGGCTTTGTGAATAGTAATTTGAAGATCTATGTAACTTCAAACCATCGAGTGCGGACTTGAAGTGTTACAATTTCATTATATGAGTATATTTCTTTTCGTACACTTTATTCTTACCGCTTCTTTGCTCTCCACTCTCTTATACATCCAAGTTAAGTAACGATATTTCAACCACAAAAACGGAAAAGTTGTAATTCTCAACAGGCTTATAAAGCACAACTGTCAGTCTCAAAAACACCCTGACGAGAAAAAGTTACTTTGTAGGCTAATAAGCAATAACTTCTCTCATTTTAAAACGTTACCCAAGCATTTTTTTTTCTCGAGCACCAAAAGCTTTAACACCCATCAAGCTTAATTGACTTGACTTCTTTAAGTTTTTTGGTTGTATTTAAATTATTCTCGTTTTTCCTCCATTTATGTAACATTTTCTTGTAATGCATTCTTTCGAAAAATCTTGGGAGTGCCTTTGCATAACGATCACAAGATATTATACAATACCGTTACATGCAGTTGGTCACAGTTGACCGCTTATTACGACAAATGACTGTGGCGAACAATTGAAGACAATGAAAAGTTAATGATCAAAAATTATAGCAGAGCTGATGTAACATATGGGCACATGACCATAAGTGTGTATCGCTGATGGCCGATGGCCTAACTGATTACCATCGGCATAGCTGTAAGGAGTGTTGAGTATGCAAGCAGATACGTGTGTTTTTGGTAGAAATATGGTAAAATTTCAAGTATGTATCAGATATGTTTCCAATGGAATTTTATTGTTATTAACGGTACACGAGACACTGTATTGACTTTATGGGGTACGAATAATTACATTGTCTTTAATGAAGAGCTTATTTAAGAAGTCGATCAATAATCGAGAGCACAATATTTGCAGCTTAAAGCCCAAAGAATATTTTTTGAAATTTGAAGTGAAAATATCACATAAAATCGTACAATATACGACAAAAAATATTTTTAAGTCGATCAATAATCCATAACATTCTTAACTTAAAATCCAATTATATAGAATATTTTTTGAAATATTTAATAAAAATATCATATAAAATCTTCAAATATAAAAGAAAAAATATTTTGAAGCCGATCAATAACCGGTAACATTTTTAACTTAAAGTCCAAATATATGAGGAGAATATATGAAATTCTATGTGGAAAATTCAGTCAAATATAAAATAAAAAATTTAAGTCGATTAATAATCGATAACATATTATTTATAGTTTAAAGTACAATTATATGAAACATTACGAAGTTTTAAGTAAAAATGGTATACGTAAACGACGAATATATAAAAAAAAATATTTTTATTAATCTGACTTGCTCGACTTGTATTGTTTATGATTTAGAAACAATTTTTCAGTAAGAAAAGAAATTTTCCCATTTCCTCCATAAAATTCTTTTATTTCACCTTTGTAGCTTTGTTTATGAATGAAATAATTATAACATTATAACAATCCCAACTAAACCTAGGCAAATCGAATCCAATGTATGAAATATCTAATAAATATTGTTATAAAAGACTTCCCACTACTGCTTGAAGTAGACTAGAATTTTCAATATCTAATAAATATTGTTATTAAAGACTTCCCGCTACTGCTCCCACGATAGTCGGGCTTAAGTAACCGGA